TAACATGGAGAATACAAACTTCATGGAGGGAATTGCAGAAGATGATCTACTTTCTGAAGACTATAAGCATACTCCATTGAATAATGATTTAGAGGATGATGAGTTGAGTGATGACTCAATCTCAAAATCAAACGCTTAATTGGTTTTCAGGTTCTTTTTCTCCTTTACTTTTATTTTATCTATGGATATTATTTGTTAAAATTGTAGAGGAACTTGTGCTAAAAGTTTCCCTTCACGAATTAGAGAATTAACTACTAAATATAATACACAAATTTTCATTCTTCTTGAAACTAGAGCTAGTGATTCTAGAGCTAATAATATTGTCAGGAAACTTGGTTTCTCTGATTGGATTCAAATTGAAGCCACTAGATATGCTGGTGGGATTTGGTTGCTTTGGAACAATGATGTGGTAAACATTGACTATATCTACTCTAATGTTCAACTTCTTCATTGTAAAGTTAATCATCTCTTGAAGAAAACATCTTATCTACTTTCTTCTGTTTATGGCAATTCTAATCCTTGCAATCGTGAGCAACTTTAGGATTCTATTAATGACCTTACTACTACTATTAGTGATCCCTGCCTTATTGTTGGTGACTTCAACTCATATCTCTCTTGTGAAGATAAATGTGGTAGGAATGGGTATAATTGGAGATCTATGAAGCTCTTTAGGCAATGCATCAACTCTTCCAACCTCTTTGAACTTAATTTTGCAGGAGACAGATACACTTGGGAGAAAGGTAGCACTAAAGAAAGGCTTGACTAGTCCTTCTGCATACTAAATGGAGATTAAAATTCAACCAAGCTAGCACCTTTCATCTCCTTAAATATGGCTCTGATCATTGGCCAATCAGAATTCAGCTTGAGAATATGGACATCTCTAAACCTCACAATAAACTCTTTAAATGTCACGCTGTGTGGATGGTTGAAGACTCCTTTCATCATATAGTTAAAAATTCTTGGAATGAGAAACATTGGAAGGAAGGTGCCTTAAAATTTGCTACCTCTACCACTCAATGGAACAAAAATAATATAGGCAGCATCACGATAAATAAAAAAAGGATCTTGAGAAGACTTAAAGGAATCGATCGTAACAGGAATTCCAAAGATAGCTATTTTCTAAGGAAACTTGAAAAATCTCTTTGGGAAGACTACAATAAAATCCTTCTCCAAGAAGAACTTCTCTGGTTCCAAAAGTTTAGATGCAAATGGTTGAAATGGGGAGATAGGAATTCTAAGTTCTTTCATGTCATAGCCATTATCAAGAGGAAAAAAAAGCCAAATTTTATCCTTACAGGATGATGATGGAAATTGGATCCACGACCATACCATTCTCAAGGACAAAGCTGCTTCTTATTATGAAAACTTATTCAAAGAGGATGCTCAAGCCAAACCGAAATTGATAACTGGCAAAACCTTCCCTCCTCTAACCTTTATTCAATTGCAATCTATTCATAAAAATGTTACCAAAAAGGAGATGAAAACTGCGGCTTTTGATATTGGAGCTTTCAAAGCTCTGGGCCCTAACGGAATCAATGTTGGCTTTATACAATGCTATTGGAATGATCTCAAAGATAGCATTAATCACCTTGTCAAGAGAGTTTTCAATGACCCCTCTATCATTAATGAAATTAATGATACCTTCATTACTCTTATACCTAAAAATGAGAGCCCAACATGCATGAAGGATTTTCGTCCGATATCTCTATGCAATGTAAGCTACAAAATTATCACCAAAATCCTCTCCAATAGATTGCGACAATGCATGAATCACTTGATTGGGGATAATCAATATAGCTTTTTACAAGGAAGACAAGGCAGTGATAATATCATCATAGCTCAAGAGATCATCCACTCTATGAGAAAAAAAGTTGGGAAGAAGGGATTCATGGCTCTTAAGATTGATCTTGAAAAAGCTTTTGATAGGCTTTCTTAGGATTTTATTAATGATACTCTTCACATTATCGGTCTCAATGAAAACTTCAGAAAGCTCATCATGACAGCCATCTTTACTACTCGTATGAGAGTCTTATGGAATGGGGAACCTTCAAATGAATTCTCACCATCTTGTGGCATTAGACAGGGAGATCCTCTTTCTCCTTATCTCTTTGTTCTCTGTATCGAACGCTTGAGCCATAGCATCTATAGCAGTATTGATAAAAATGAATGGAAACCTATTAGCCTAACAACTAATGGACCCCCTATCTCACATCTATTTTTTGCTGATGACTTGTTCCCTTTTGCAGAATCTTCACTCAAATAAGCGAGGATTATACAACGTTGCCTTGCCAATTTTTGCAATGCATCAGGACAAAGAGTTAACAATACCAAATCTAAGCTATTCTGTTCCAAGAATGTCAATATCAATAGATTCATTCAAATTAGTGATGAACTAAGAATACCCCTGACTAGCAACCTTGGCAAATACTTAGGAATACCTATTATCCATGAGAGAGTTTCTAAAGTCACCTTTACACCTCTCCTTGATAAAATTAACTCTCGTCTTTCCAATTGGAAGAGTCATTTTCTTAACACTGCTAAGAAGGCTGTTCTTATCAAGTCTATCCTTGCTTCCATGCCTAGCTACACTATGCAGAGTATGCTCCTTCCTAATAATGTTCTAGCTAAAATGGAATCTTACTCACGTAATTTCCTTTAGGATTCAACAGACGGAACCAAAAAGCCTCATCTCTTATCCTAAGACCATATCACCACGAAAAAAAATCATGGTGGCCTTGGCATCAAAAATCTTAAAAGTCAGAATAAGGCCTATATTATGAAGCTCTGTTGGGGAATCTTAACGAAACCAAATAGTCTATGGGTTCGTGTTCTTTGTGACAAATATAAATGCAATAACCCTACCATTCCCATAGTCTGTAAATCTAACTCCTGCTCCTACACGTGGTCCAGTATTTGTAAAGTTTGGGATCATTTTATATCTCATGTGGGTTGGAAGGTAGGGAAGGGAAACCAAATATCTTTCTGGTATGACAAATGGTGTCCCCTACTTGAACCTTTGGTTTATTACGCTTACGCTAATGTTGACTCCATTCTTCATGCAAGAGTGTATGATTTTTATACTACTACAGGTAGCTGGAAGGTAGATCAGTTACGTAGATATCTTCACCATGATATCATCAAACAAATAACTATTGTTCAACCTCCCAATCCTAACGCTGATGATGATGTTTTATGTTGGAGACCCTCCAATGATGGCAATTTCACTATCAAATCTACTTACAAGACCATTGAAAATCTTCATGACACTTCTAGATCTAAAATTTGGTCCATGATTTGGAAATGGCCAACATACGAGAAGATTAAAACTTTTCTTTGAAAAATGGCTTGGGATCATCTTCAACCTAAATTTGCCTATTCTAATTGTGACAATCCTTGCATTGGGACTTGCCCTTTTGGCTGTAACACTTCAGACTCAACTGCTCATATCTTTAGAGATTGCGAGAAATCAAGAGAGGTTTGGAAAAAATTAATTAAACAATCTAAACTTAACACTTTCTTTTCTCTCCCTTTACAGGATTGGATACTTTGGAATGCAAAAAATGATGCAGGCAAACCTTGTGCTAGGAAGATCTCCTGGCAATGACTTTTCTCCCATGTGTGCTGGAACATATGGAAAGAAAGATGTAAAATCATATATTCTGAGGAAGATACTCCTAACAAAGACATTGCATTCACTAGCATTCAAGATATTCTTAGTGATCAACTCCTCCAATCAAAAATTAACTTATTAACCCAACAAAGTGATAGATCTAAAGCTAAGTGATTATCTCCTAAAGACGGATGGATCAGACTTGACATAGATGGCTCCACCAATAATCAAGGTGCAACTTCTTGTGGTGGCCTAATCCGAGATGGAATAGGAAATTGGATTAAAGGCTTATCCAAATACCTTGGTTACCACACAAATACGGCGGCAAAGCTTATGGGCATCTTAGAAGGACTTAACATTTGCTGGGTGGAAAAATTTGATAAAGTTAACGTCTACTCTGACTCTACAGAAGCTCTCACACTTATACACAATGAATTCTCTACAAATCACCCCCTTGCTGCTACCATAAACAAAATCAGAGATCTTGTTATGAAAGATTGGATGGTCACTTTTGATCACATTTTTAAATAAGCAAATAAATGTGCAGATTGTTGGCTCACCAAGCTCCTGTCGAAAGCCCTAGAGTTCATATTTTTGATACTCCGCCTCTTGGTTGTATAAATTTCTTATACGCTGATATGACACATCATATCACATAACACAGTTTACCCGTAGCCTTTTATTCAAAAAAAAAAGTTAATAATAAATTCATAATTTTTTTCAAATAAAAAATAAAAATTTGATCTTCAACACTGTTTAAATTTTTAGTAATTTTTTACAAAAATTCTATAAGTATAAAAAATATTCATAATTATAAAAATTTTAAGTTATAAAAATTATGTAATTTTATTTTAAAATTAACAAATCATTTAGCAAAAATATAAAAATTCTTAATTTTTTTAAAGAAAAAATTCAAAGGTTTTAATTTTTAGGGGTTAAAAAATTTAATTGATTGAACCACAAGTACTCAATTAAAACAAAATAAAACACAAAGACCTAATATAAAATTGAAAAAAAAAAACTATAAGAACTTCTAGATATATTTTCCCAATTTGATACCAAGATTTTAAAATTTAGAATTCTTAAGCTGTTCATTTAGTTTCAAAGTTTATGATTTTATGCTAATAAAATTTGTCCTTTACAACTTCAGAGTAAACTTTCCACTCAGATTTGGATAAAATGAAAAATGCATCAAAGTAATAAACTTTGAATCCGTGAAATACTTTCACCCCCAACCAACCGACCATACAACTCCTCGCGATCTCCTTCTCCTCACCTTCCTCTTCAAACTCACCAAACACCTCAATACTTCGTAAAGAAGTGGCAAGGAACCAAAAGATCATCAAACAAAAAAGCGAAGCCATGGGATGATCAGTAGTTCTACTCGGCCAGAAAAAGATCGATATCATCCACACTGAAAGCTGAAAACACCGGTTCAGACGATGCAGATAAATTAATTTGTTCTCTCAGCAACTGATTGATCAGTCACTTCAGAAAATTCTAACATGTCGCACCAACCAAAAGGAAAAAAATCCAACATCTTATGCTCTAGGTAAAGTCTAAGAACTGACAGTGTAGCATCCTCTAGCTTCAAAATGTCTGATTGCAAATGTATTAATCTGGCAATGATCAACGCCTCTTCTTGTTTGATTTTGCACTGGATTTTGATGGTGTTGCGACCAGGTACACGAACAGAACCACAATGGTGATCACTGAGATAAGAGATCCATACTTGGCAAGCAATTTCTGCGGCCATGTTAAACATCAATAGAATGAATTTTTAAGAACGACACGTCAAGCAAGTTATGGAAAAAGAATAAAAACATTAATAAGATAAAAGTTTGTAGCATTTCTTCAGCCACACGTGAGGACAAAAACCCACTTTTCATCACATGTCAATAAACACAACTAATCAATCCATGTGTCGTCTAAATAGTTTTGCACCAGAAAGGTAAATGAGATCATTTTGCTCATGATGACATGCTTGACTCACAAAAAGCAACATTCACTACCAACATCAGCAGCACATCTTCATAATTATATATTTTGTACAATAAGTTTGGAGATTGCAAGTACAAAAAGCAAAAAGAAATTGTACGTACCTTAACCTAAGAAATAGTGCCCAACGGATGAATCCATGAAAGCACAAAAAATAATTCAGTCAGCATAAGGAATTGTCATGTAAATTGAGATTGGTTCATGAAACTAACAGGTTTACAAGAAACATACCCAATCCAACTTCTTCTCGGGAGGTCTGTCAGCTAGAACATCCAAAGGAAGAATAGGAGTTGAATATGCCTCCTAAAGGAAAGCAATTGGCACAATGAGAAAGGTTTGTCCACCAGAAAAGAAAACAGAGAAACATTACCAACAGATGGAGAACCTGCAAAGAAGCTTTTGTTGGTACGCGGAACTTAATAACTGCTGGTTCACCAGAATAGACTCCCTTTTGTGTGGCCTCCAATTCAAATGTGTGAGACAGAATACCACCACTGAAAGCAGCATTGTATGTTTTTCAGAAGACAGAAGGATAAAAGAGTAGAAATGGGAGAAGGCTATGTAGATTCTAGATTCGCAAAGGCTATAATCAGCAATATAAACTCACGCATCAAGCCTTTCCCATGTCTTCGACATACTACCACTGACTACATTAAAAGCTTCATTTGGCCAGCTATCATCTGTTAGACTTACATCATACGCAGTCCTTTCAAAAAATAAAATAAAAACTGGGTAAGTTTAACAGAAAAGGAGAAATAAATAAACAACATAAAATTGAAGCACATATTGAATAAGCTTTAGGCGACAATCCACAATATACTTGATGAATATATCAAAATATTCACTTGTGCAAACTCATCCTGAAATTGTCACCTCTCGCCCCTGTTGCTAAGCTTGCTTTAATAGCAGTTCTTCACCAAGACTAGACCTACCTAATAACACCACACTTAATGGAAGCAGAATAACAAGGCGCAAAGAGGACCAAATTGCAGATCAGACGGATTATAAAGGCATTCCTTAACTTCATTCCTGCCTCTCATGTATCTCTCCTTGCCCTTGTTAGTTTCATGATTTCAGATTTACTTCATTTGATATATGGACATGTGCTTATTCCATCAGAATACAATTCGACATTGCAACTGAGACAAGAGACAAACTATTTTTCCCCGATCGATGGCCCTTCGAGCTATAAACCCAAGCCAGCAAAAGAATCATGAATCTTGATGCCTGGTTGCTAATGAACTGAACGGCGAGCCTCACATGCTCATTTCTCCCCAATTGACCGATGATTTCCGAATTTTATTTTATTTTTTAGCGCGAGTTTTGCTGGCAGCTAAACAGCAAAAGGCAAATGCTTTCAAAATTGAACAACCTAAAAGCTCAATTTTTCACAATCAATCAAAGCATGCATGGGAGGGGGGAATTGAGATCTGAGGAATTGAGAAAATTAAAATGCATAAGAAAGAATCTGAAGAGAATCAGATAGGATTAGGACAAGACAGAAAAGGGAACATACGAAGTTCCTTGGTTGTAGATGTCGATGGTGACGGAAACACGTTCAGCTCCAGACTTGAGCCTGTTAAGGGTGGCCTTCTTGTGAGCCAAAATGAAAGGGACATCAGAGCTAGCATCAGCAAGTGATAAGCATAGCAAGAGCGCGAGGGCAACCAGGGATTTGAAGATTAGATCGGCCATCTGACAGATTCTGGTTTGGCGACTCCTCTCTGATATGAATTGAATCGTGGGATTCTGTGTTGAATCTGTCTTCAGACCGAGCTTATTACCAACGACTCTAGGGTTTGTATCCACAAGGATCCGGCGCAGGTAGATTGTTTGGAAATGACATACATGTAAAATATTTTTAATTAAATTTTATTTTATAATAAAATAATTATTTATTTTTTAATTTATTTTATTTTTTTATATTTATTCATATTAAACACTCTATAATAAATATAAAATTATTATTAATAAAGATGCTTTTAAAAAAAATAATGATTATACTTTAAAAGACTTATATTTTTAAATATTCAACTCTTTAAAAAATATCTTACATTTTTAAACGGAATGAGTAAATAATTTTCTCCCCCCTAAAAAGTAGTTGTTAATTTTTTTAAATTTAAATTAGAATATAGGAGAAATTTCATTGAAAAGCTGCTGAGAGTATTTAATGATAATATCATGGTGAAAATATTTTGAAATATTACTATAAAATTAGGTATTAATTTAAAAATAATTCTAAATGAAAAAAATTATAATACCTATATTTTTATTTTTTAAATTGATAAGTAATTATTTATGAAGTTAACAAATATTTATTTATATTTAATAAAAAATTATTTATTAATTAAAAAATACAAAAATAGGAAAAAATTTGATTGTGAGAAGGAATAGTTGTAGATCATGTTTCAACGAATAATCTTTTATTAATTAACAAGTAATGTAACTATTTACATTTAACAAAAGTCAGTTACTAATTGATAAATTAATTAATTTAAAAAAATTTGATTGTAAGGAGGATGTATGTAAATCATATTTCAATAAATAACCATTCATTAATTAATAAGTACTATATTTAATAAGAAATTATTATCTAGTCAACAAGTTTAAAAAAAAAGAAAAACAAAATATGGGATATTATAGTTTTTTCTTATCTAAAATTAGTTTTAAATCAATTTTTTTAATTCTACAATTATATTTAAAAAATTTTTAATTCTTATTTAATGTTAAATTGCTTTCATGATCTTTGAATGATATTTTTTTTTAGCATATATATATATCTCCTATACTCTCACACACGGAAAAAACTATATTGATGTCGAAGAAAGACACTACATCATTTGAATCTAAAATGTAATTTATATTGTTGTAAAATAAAATAAAATGTAATTTATACGGTCCATTCATCTGTGTACTTGTCACGTTGCAGGCAAAAAAAAAATTCAATTCCCCCAAACGCTGCCGTATAATTGATTATAATCATTCTACATCTTATCTTGTAATTTTTCAATTTCCATTCACCACAAATTTGTTAATTTTCAATCTGGTGTTTTTCTCGATTACTTTGCATATTTAAACTGTCTTTCCACATCAATATTAATATCAATTTAATTATTATTATTATATTCATTGAAATTAAAAATATTAAATCAATAGTAAGTAGCATTATTTTTAGTTTATAAACAGAACAAATCGAAAAAAAGTTTTCCAGATCCAGTGACACAATTTTTTTTATACATAAAATTTAGATGAGTTATGTCTTAAGAGTTTACTAAGACATGCTTTCATATTTAAAGATATGAGCCAAATTCTTATTAAACTAACCAGTCTTTGTTGATTCCAGTGATACAATTTTGTTGAAGACAACAATGGGCCAAGCCATGAAAAGATAGACATCTGGTGGGTTGAAAAAGTATTTGGGCCTACGTTTACCTAGGAAACCAAAAAATGAAAAACATATAGTGTACACTCCAGGCAACGCACCTGGAACTAGCTGCCTCAGCAACGAAACACCATCTACTTTGTACCAAAACAAAAAAACAAAAAGAAAAAGCATCATCTACTGGGCAACTTCATGTTCATCTTTGAATCATTCTGATCATCTCCAACCCTCCATGATTCAGTATTTGAAATGCAAAAGCACAACAATGTAAATGAATTGCATTTGCAACTGTATAATTATCTCTCTCTTTTTTTGTAGACTCTTGTTGTAAATTTTTTGCCTATCATAAATCTAATTTGCAATGCGTCTTGTAATATAAGGAAAAATTTTGTGAGTGGCTTTTGCATCATTGATCATCAAATTTTAGCTGGTTGAAGAAAGAACATTGGCCACATCAACAAGTCATAAGGGCTTAGCCCATTAAAGCCAACTTCAGACAACCCATTTCCAATTTCAAACCATGTGTCTTTCTTGTGTTCTAAATTTCATATTATGGTGATGGATAAGAATAAATTCTTGGTTGCATGTTTTTTTTTTTTAAATAGCCAAACATCATATTCAAATTCTAAAGAGCCACTTCCATCTTCATCTAAGCTCTACTAAATCGGAGGAGTAAGGACTATAAATGAGTTTTTGTTCTTTTTTTTTAAAAAAAAAAAGAAGAAGTTTTCTTCAAACAAAGCACTTCCTACAAAATGACAAGGCAAATTAATAAGAGAAGATATCATTCAAAGACATCCGAAACAAGCTGTTGTTGTGAAAGAACATGTAAATAAGGGAAGTTCATTTTGGTAATTAATAAAAAAAAAGTTCAATTACTATTTAGTCTCGTACCTTGCATGTTATTTTAAATTGCATTGGTTCATGATAATGACTTGCTTCAGATAACCATTGAATGATATTATCCCAGGGAACAAAAGAATGTGAATGATCTAGGCTTCGAGGCTGATGTGGCTAATTTATGTGAATAGGCCAACTCAATCAAAGGCTTGAGATGAGTATGAAAAAAGAAAAAACACTCATGATTGAAAGCTATTTTCGACCCTTAGATTGCTAGAATCAAGATCTCACACGCATTGCCCAGAATGAGTAAGGAATGCATATTTCATTTTAAAATTAGGCGTGGTTTGATTTATATTTTATCATTTCCATTTTATATTCCATAATAAAAATCATTATTAAGGAAGTTAATGGGAAATACACTTAATTATTTTATAATTATACGACGTTTCTTCCAAAAAGAAAGAAACGATAATAATGGATCAGCCATCTAAAACATATCATCCTACAAAACTTCAAAGACACTGAGGGAACTGATTTCGAAGTCGCCTCAAACATTCCTAGGGACCCCAAGCATATTTCGTGCAAGCTAAGAATGAAAAAGATTGCATGTTTCAAACATCTCATGTTAACTACCAGCTCACGGATAGATCATGGGCAGATACAGTAACTTATGTTTTATGCAGTCAAATGACTTTGAAATGAAGGAAGAAGCCAGGGCATGATTGAAGTAAAGTATAGAAAGTTAGGAAATTGGGAGGTAGAATAAAGGATGGAACAATACAAGATACAAGCACCACGCTGTCAAATAACATCCCATAGAACCACAGTACTTCAAATACAATGAATAGGAGTTTAAGTTTTATTATTATTATTATTATTATTGGGGCCACCGACGTTTTAAGTTTAGTTTAATCATTATTATTTTCTAAATTTTTTTTATATTTGTTAATCTTTAAACATAGGATTGATTGAATCATTGACTATTGACCTTACGTTAGGGAACTCACCTTTCCCCAACTTTTATCGGTTACAGAAGTCACTTGCTCCTTTAAACGAAGCAGAGACTTGAGGGCTCTACGCTATTGCCATGTGAGACATGCGTCGATTCCTGCGCCTCGGATTCCCAGACTATGCCACCCACCGTGCCACACCTTGTCCATATTAACATCCTATTCCATTCCCGATCCTCCAATCTTCTCTGCTTCTCTCCTTCCTCTAACCCGTAAGCCATCATAATTATTACCTTTGTCTATTCTCTCTGTAATTTCCTATTCTTTCAGATTCATTGGCTCTTATCTTTTACCTGCTTCCCTGATTTGGGCTTGTAGTTCTGAGCTCATGATACTTCTTCAACTACTTTTAATCGGATTTCTGTCCCATACATGAGGAGGGTTTAACTTTTTATCTTTTACCTGCAAGTTCACGCTAGAAACTTCAATCAGTGCTTGTCAGAAGAACTGAGTAGTTTCTCACCCACTTCAGCAGAGTTCAATCAGAACAGTGAAACTTAAATGTGCCAACTATGCTTATTTTAAGCCCTACACCACATTCGCCCATATCTCAATTACTCATTGTTGCGCCACACAATCACTTTCTAGGACCTTAGTAGTGATTGGTGAACGTGGATGGTTTATTTGTGCAGGATGTTAAGCTCGAAGAAATTCCTTACCAAAAAGCTATGGGTTGTACTTGCTCTGCATATGCCCGTGGAAGGAAGAAATCTTCATTGAGCATCCCTGAAGTGGCGGTCTTTGTTCCATCGATCAGAATTCCAGTACAATCTGATCTTCAAAGGGCTCTTGGAGGGATAATTCCACGCGAACTCGCTGATAAACTGTCTTCACTTCGAAATCAGATAGTCTTAGTAGCGGAGGATACTGGTGAGAACAGAGAACTTGCTTGACTGAACTCAAACAATTTCGATATATACTACTTTCTCAGACATGAATAGTCCCATAGAAATCTAAAATATCCTGAGAATGCCTTGCAGGTGGTTCAGCAATAGCAGAACTGCGGCGGACTTTGAATGAATACTTGGCTGTTCTGATTGGGCTTACTAAGAGAGGTTCCACAAACTAACACACACGTCTCTCCTTTTCTTTTTCCTTCTCCTGCTCTGACTGCGATTTCTTGTTATGTTAGAGAGCAGTCTTGAGGGACTGATCGAGTTCAAGTGGAAAAACTTTGCAGAGGGGCGACAAGTATGACTCTGAGCAAACCAATTTTTGAAGTTTCTTTCAGCATTGATAATCTGTAGTGCTGTTAACAAGGCAAAGTGTAATTGACAGGATAGCTGTATAGCGAATGCTTGGTTTGAGGTGATATCTGCGGTTCATCTTATGGCAATGCTAACACTGTCTGAGGCAGACTCCTTGATGATCCCCAAGGACCATTCAAGTTCTGGAATAAGGGCTGTATCTTCAGGTTTTTCCCCCGTCCTCGTATATCTGGACCTGAGATATTTGCTCGATTGAGTTAGTAATTAATAGTGATCGTGTGCCTTTTTTATGCCAGAGAATAAGAGGGAAGCAGTTGATTTGTTACTTAAGGCATCAGGTTACCTGGAGTTCTGTGTCAAGAATGTTCTCTCTCATATGCCAGACGAGGTCAAGTAGGTGCATTATTTAGATCCTCTGAAATATTTCATGGGATGATATAGAAGGAGAAATATGAAGAAAATAATGGGCCCTACCTCTGCAAATGTAGATTCCATAGAATGTTTCTCTCTCTCTCTCTCTCTCTCTCTCTCTCTATTTTACCCCCATGAACTACTTCACAGGATCCAAATACATATGTTTGTTGTTAATCTATATATAACCTTAAGTATTGGACAGGTTTTGAGCACAAACATAAAGACATTTCTTAATTACATGCAGGATGGCTCTACCCCATGACTTGCAGGATGGTGTGTTGGAAGCTATCTCTATCCAAGCACTAGGACAGGTGCATTTTAGCTTATGTCTCTGTATTTAGCTGCAAAGATGTTTGTCTCTAAATCACGTATCGGATAGCGCAGGGTGGATTTGTTGTAACTTCAATTATGAAGTTGCGGTCCCGGTTTTCAACTTTTCGTTATGTTTAGCTGAAATGCACGAAGGGTATTATTTAAAAAAGGGACTTTGGTCAATATCTTGCAAAATAAGCCACAAGCTAGATCCAACTATATTTAATCATGTACAACATGATAAATAAACATTAAACAATGGATGCACAAAAATACTATCTCATTTTGATGACAATTCAGGGAACTGAAATTCAGCTTGGTCTTGCTGTTGAGGATCAGAAGGCAACTTTGTCTGTGAAGAGGAGGCTGGCATGTGAACAAGTAACCTACTTCAGTCAGGTCTTCCCTTCAATCCTTGAAAATCAACTCAATTAAACTCATTAGTTTTAGGGTAATTCATTTTGCTTCAGAACCTTCTGTCTTAAAGTAAAGGAATAGAAGTCCATAGTATATCAGTATGTGACTTCGTTTTCTCACTTTGAAGTGCAGGCCTATCACTGCTTGTTGAGATGTGACTTCAACCAAGGGTATCGGAAGAAGCATATCCAGTTCATAAAATGGAAATTCCTGGAAGCCAAGGTCTATAATACAATCACCACTAAACCCTTGTATCTATGAAAAAGGAAAGAGAGAAAAAAAATCTTAACCTCTGAAAACAGCTTTTAAATATTAGTAGTGCAGATGGTGTGTTAATGAACATTCTGTACATTACTGTGACTCCAGGCTGCAGCCTACTACTACCATGGTCTGATCCTTGACAAGGGCAATGAACCAACAAGTTACATTGGTGCTGTATCTTGCTTTCTTGCTGCAGACGAGCTTCTAGCTGAGAGCAAGAAGGCCTGCTTAAGCTTTTGTCTTGCAACTCCGGTGACCAGGTTGATTTTGGTCTTTTTGATTTTGTCATGTCACACTTCTCCCCCCCCCCCCCTAACTAGTTGGTTTTCCTTTGTCAAGGGCTCCTCCCCTCTGGGGTGTTATGAAGCGTTTGCATAAGAAAATTCCTGAAGTTGCAGCAAGCAAGTCTCAGACGTATGTGCACCTCTTGGAACAAGAAAAGTAACAATCTTCCTTCTATCCTACCTTGTGGATAACTGAATTAGTATTCTACTGATAGGGTTCCTCATATTATCCATGCATATACTAGGAGGCACAAGAATGAGAGATCATCAAGGAATGCTTAAAAATTATGTCTTAGGATGATTTCTTAACAGACTAGCCGTTTATTACTGTTATGACAAAGGTAGTTATGTCTTCATGTCCAGCTGTCAATTATGGTGCCGTGTCAAGTAATTATGTATTTTAGTACTATATCAATTTTCCAAGGGTCAAGCGATGGCCTGTGTGCCAAGTGTCCTACCAGGTCATTTCTACGGGTCCTACAATTATGAATTGTGGAGCATTGGAATATCATGTGAATTTCTTAGACCATAAGTCTTAGATTCTCTTAGTAACAGAAATTTCCTTCTCTTCCTTTCTCTTTTTATCAGTTCCCGACAGTTCTTCAGACTTTATGATTTTTTTAACCCGGGTCTTAGCATGTACCTAGACTCTTGATTTCATTAAAAGATAATATAGTGATTTTTCCGTAACACTGGACATTTTTAATGATGCAGGAGTCTCCAAGCATTGCCTGAGTTACCTGAATTCCAATTGTCATTAAGTCCGGATGATTATCAGCTGCCTGAAATGGATCCAGCATGGATCCAGCACCTTCAAGATGGTGAAGATGAGATCCCAACCGACTGATGCACTTACGAAGCCTTCGTTCTCTCTATTTGTAGTTGAACTGAATGACTGCCTACTTGACTGTCAAACTCCTATGCGTTAAAAAGCTTGCCTCAGATAGTGTATCAGTACTTCATGACTTTAAGTACTATATCTTAAGTCAATCACGAAACTTTTCAATTTCCTTCAGAATTTGTTGTGTCAAACTCCTATGCGTTAAAAAGCTTGCCTCAGAGTAGTATATCAGTACTTCATGACTTCAAGGATCGTATCTTAAGTCAATCACAAAACTTTCAATGTTCTTTCAGAATTTGTTGGGTCAAAACCGCGCCAAAGAATTGATTCAAGCGGGTAACTGATTTTTATGTTCATGAGGTTTTGCTGTGTTCACCAATCACCATCAAACATCATTCTATCTTCTAAACAAACAATCAGAAGCATAACGTGTGAATATTTTAAGGACATTAAAGTCTGTCACTTTCTTTAGCTCTCCTTGTTCGGTTGGTGCCTAGTTGGTTCGGTTTGTCTTATGCATAACTAATGATACTTTTTTCCCTTACTGATGTCCGATTTCCTATCAAACATGCCATCCATCAAGATCAATAATGCGACGGTTATCAGAATCTGACTAGTTAGAAGGTCTAAATAAGTTATCTGATTCCCGTTTATAGCGATTGATAGCTAGATTCAATCTCCTTCTTTATATAAATCTTGTACCTATTGGCCAAATAAAAAATCTATGTATCTAACAAATCAATCATTTAAAATTTAGCCTTATCAAGTTGCAACAGTTTTCAAGAATATCTATTTCCGTGATATGAATGCATGAAATTCTACTAGCATTATTAAATTCAGAGCACATCAAACTTTTAAGTTAAGGAAACTGATTCTGTTGACCTTGATCTAATAATTTAGCGGTTATCTTTCCTGGAAAGAAGTGTTTTCCTATCGTTACATGAATTTGGAAAAGGGGAACAACCAATTTGAACGCAGTGCTTGAATCAAGTTTCTTGGAAAAGTTGTTTTGCTACCAAATTTTGCCGACATGATTGCCGTATCTCTTGCTCTCTGTAAACAATTATTGCAGGTAAATAACCGCAAAACAGAAAAAGAAAAAAAAAAACAAGAAAGTAGTTTTCAATGAGCACATGTAATTTCTGGCCAAACCGCATGCCCATGGCCCCAACAAAGAGGGCATCTTAATGAGTCCATGAACAATTTTAGTCACAGGGAACCTTATCTCATGAAACTGAAAACGTAAGGCCAAGTTAATGCCATGTAATTAATGAAGGTTGAAGTCGTTGATATATGATGATATCTGTTTCTTTACAACAGTTATTGAATCCTATCCATAGTCACCAAGCATTAACATGGCTACCATATAACCGGGACAGACACAAGGGGGAAAACTCTAAATTTCTGCAGGACACAAGTAACTAGGAAAGGCTGTATAATCTATCCATGCTCTGAATCTAGCTCTTGGGAGGAGAAGACATGAGCTTGTAAGCCATTAAAATAGTAAGTCCCAAATAGGCAAAGAAAGTCAGATAAGAGAGAAAGAGGGAGACCATGTTTCTTTTGCAGAACTTTGGCACTCGGTCACAGATGGCCAGCCATCCCACATGCGATTCTCCATACTGACCCACGTATCCTACCGCAGTTGCCGCCGCACATGCTGATATAATCAGCACCGTCATAACCTGCAAATAGATTATATTTTAATCAAATCAATAATCCGTTATTTTCAGACTTGTTCTATTCAGTAACCGGATTGAAGGGCAAGGTTAAACAGAATTTTAAAGAAATTACTATGTCGTGCAAGATGAGGGAAAAGAAGGAGTAAGGGCGTTGCAACGATCCTGGACGTCTCAGCAGAAGGAGACCTATGATGAGTGTGAGCAGAGAGAAGCCACAGACTATAGCATTTGCAGCTACGAAGAATCTGCAGCAATGGGGGGAGAACAGAGGAAACAATTATTATCTTTTCGAAATGAATCTGTAAAGTGGATAGGGTTTCAAATTGATATTCGAATCTTACTTCAGAGAAGAGGAGTAATAGTAATGGGCTTCGAACTGGAACGAGAAGATGGTAACAGTTTGGCTATTGGTGACCATGACTGCAATTGAAGCTGCGGAAAGCAGAAAGGCTAAGATTCGAAGGATCTCGTGAGCCATGAGAAAATGCTGGTAATGAGACAGAGATTGAGGAGTTGAAGGGGGGAGTGATGGCTTCGGAGATTTAGCGTCGAGCATGAAGGAATCTTTGGCGTCGGCCATACATATGGAGGACCGTTTGGGTAACTTTATGTAAAGCAAATGGAGAATAGCTTAAAACGGCAAAAACGTGATACAGAACAGAGAAGTTGGTGGCGCTGCCGGAGATTGAGCGCAATACCTCTTAACTTTAAGAGGACGAAATTACAGAGAGGCACGATGCTGGAGGCGATTCAAGGCTTATTTTTGATGCACTGCAATCTGATACCGATTTGGACTTTTCTGGGTATTTGTGAGCGGCAGAAAAATGTAAAAATCGGAGAAATTTCAAACACAAATCTCATGGACACGTATAAATCGTCTCGAACAATAGGTTTCACTCTTTTCCCCCCTTCTTGACAAAGATTTCAGATCGATTTTGTAATCCAGCTTCTCAATCTTCTTTACAGTGAAATGCAGTTATTAGATCTTGAGGGAAAAAATAGTTGGAGAGTGGAAGTGACGGCCACAAAAACGAAAGTCTGGTCATTAGAAGGTAATATGATAAATGCTTTTGTGTTGTTGAGTAACAGAAATTGAAAAATAAAAATAAAAAATGGAAAATAGTATTTTCCGTCCATGCAAGTTTACGTAGGCCATAAGAAGAGAAAACCAACATGTTCGAGAAATGGTACTGGATGCCAAGGGGGAAAAAACAGTTTATGCACTTTTTTAAAATAGTCTTCCTTATGAACTAATTAAAGTCCAGTGATATGTACGACTTTTTGATTTCTAAAATGTGCTAATTACTCTTTCGAAATCACAAATGCAGGTGTTGTTAATTTCCATATTTAGATAAGTTGGTTAAAATTTTAATTTTCTAAATTTTTTTATATCTTTTCAATAATACCCAGAATAAATATAATACTCATTCAAAAACATTTTCATTAATTATTTGAATGAATTATAATAAAGCAATAGTATAATTAGAAAAAATATATATATAACATATCTAATGTCATATATTTAGGATCTAGTAGAATTTTTGAAGGAGTATTTTTTTTTAACTTTAAGCCATAATATGCTAAAATTATATTAAAAATTAATTTAGTTGTAAATAATTATTTCTTGTTTCAGCCTTCAGCGATCTTTTATTTGAGATTTAATTAATATGAGAGAATGAAAAAGAGGTCTTAAAAAGATTAATTAATTTAAGTTAGGTTTCAAGTGTCAAACTTTAAAAATTTTAAATCCATCTCTCAAATTTGTAATTGTATTGTAATGAATTTATAATTTATTTTTTAAATTTTAACATAATTAAAAAATAAAAAATTATTTCTTATTAAAATTTAAAACATAAGTTATAAAATCATCATAACACAATTATAAAATTGAAAGATAAATTTAAAAATTTTTAAAATTTAACACTTAAAATTTAATATGAATTAATTGATCTTTTTTAGGATTTTTTTTCATTCTTCCAGTTAATATTATCGCAAGTAATATTTAATTAATTTTTTATTTATATATATATATATATATATATATATATATATATTGATTGTTTCCTGTACACTAGCCTGCAGCGACCACAACTAACCCAATTGATTGAAAAGTAACGGATACTGGTCGTGGAAAGTAAAGTGAGTGGGGTGTGAGAATTTGATTTTCGTTTTGTCAGAATGAAAAGAAGGCGAGCGAAGAAGCGTGGGACCCTCCACACCAACCCAATTTATTGAAAGTCCGCATCAATCTGGTTTGCTTTACAGTTGAGAATTCTTAATTGAGTCTCGTTTTACAAAATAAAATGACGATTTATTGTATATGGCAGCCTCTCTTAATTATTTGCAATTTCCCACTTTTCTAAATTAACCTTGCAAAAAATATTGTAATGCCATAATCATGTAAAAATATTGTGTTCTCCGCTGAATTAAACTGTAATGCAGTGGACCCAAGCTACTTCTAATCATAATTACAATTAACTACACACCTACGCAGATATGTTTGTCTGGATGGATGATAATTTACACGCATGGTTTTCTTTAATCACCATTACAGCTATGCGTAATGCGTGTAGATTTGGACATAAGTACTCCACCTCGAGTGTGACTTCGTTATTTTAAAACGTTATTTTGAAACAATTCCCATGACAGAGATCGTTTGTTAATTGTTATTTCATTTAAGTTAAATTTGATTATTCTTCTAATCCTATATATAGGACAGAAAGAAAATATTTGCTTTAATCCTATTTATAAGGCATTTTAATAATTATTATGTTTATCTTTACAATTTTATCCTTATTAAATGTAAGAAAAGTTTATTAAATGTTAGAATATTTTATTTTAAAGTAGATGAATTTAATAAAAGTAAAGTTAAAAGCTTGTTAATTTTTAGACAGAATTAATAAATTTTAAAATTTTTCTTGATTTTTAGTAAAAATGTTGAAAGTGACTTATAAATAAATTCAAAGGGAGTAATGCATTAATATTACCTTTCAATCAATATACATTAATTCGATAATGAACCTTTTTAATCCTCAAGTTTATCTCAATTATTAATTTAATCATTAAGTTTTAAATTTTTATATTTGTAACGCCTTTAAGTTTCAAAATATAAATTAACCCTTGAATTAATCTGTTGTGTAAAATGTATTGAGTACCTAAACTATATGTGTAGTTAAATAATAACTCAAATCATTTTAATTTTTATCCATCTATTTTTTTCATTATGTTTTATTCTCATGTTTTTTAAAATATTCAAGTCTAATTTTTTTACCTAAATAATTATACTTTTTTTACTATTTTATATGACTATCATTAATGTTCCATTATGCATACCAATATATTTTAATATTATTATCTCCTCTTTAAATGAGAAAAACTAAATCAATAATGAAGGCAAATTTAATGTGCCAAATTAATAAAAATTAAATTTAAAGGATTAAATCAATAACTAAAACAGACTTCACAGACTAATAATTTTATAATATGTATATTGACATATTAATGTAAAACATAAAATCAAGGGCGAGTCGCATTTAGGGCCCTCAAAATCAAGAATTTTGCAGACAAAGCCTAATAGAATTTAAAATTATTCTGAGGGCTCAAATGCCTCGTTTACAATTGTGTTTTTTGATGAAATGATTAGTTTGTCCCTCCCATAATCAATTGTCGAATGACAACATTCTTATTCTTTCTCTCTTCTTCCTCCCTCTTCCTTCTTTCTCTTTGACCTCTTCCACTTTTATCCAGATGATTATAGAAAAGACGATCAAATGTTTGACTAACTATATCACTCTCACGCCAACCAGCTTCTTGAAATGATCCGTCATAGTATAAAAAGCATGGATCGAGTGGTGTGTTGATTTTGACATAAAAGCTAGTGCCAAAATAAAGATTGGATTGACTGGACTATTCAAGACTTGACTTTAAGCACACCTAAAGAACTTAGTGCAAGTGTCCCTATCTCCTTGTTTGCTTCCCTGGGCACAACACGGGTTATTGTTGCAGCTGCCATTGCAAAAGCAACTTTTTTATTCCTCTCGAGCATGTCATTGATCTTACTTCATCCATTCGTCTTGGTGAGAGTCTTAAAAGCTTCAATTGATTGATGTGTGCTTGATTTTGGCATGGTGGCAACCATGACTTTGGCCTTTACTGCTTCATGTTTTTGCTTGGCATAGATAAGCTCTTTTCTATAATTGCTTGTTAGCAACTAATATGTCATCAATTTCATTTTTGTAATCCTTGAGAAGGATTCACAAGCACTCCATGAGTGATCGTGTGAGGGGACTATTCTTGCTTTCTAATATGCGTTTTAACTTTTTAAAAACAAGGACTAGGTTTTGAATAAGGCCCTTTTTGACAACTTGAGTTATGGCCTTCCCTCCCACCGCAGATCCATTATCAGTTTTATTTTATCAAAAGAAGACACAAAGAGAGCTTAAACCATATTAGTTTTATTCAGTCATAATGTACATGTTCATGTTCATTTAGTGAAAATAAGTTGTTATTTATTAACTTTTTATTATTTCTGATATAGATTTTTCTGCAGCAGATATATGTGTCTTGGTGTATATATTATTGATGAAATTTATGTTATTATTTATGGAGTTTATGTTGTGCTGACTTTGCAATTAACTTATACAGATGTTTATGTGTATCATATAGATAGACATTGTGTTTTAAATATATAGTCCTTTTGATGTTATTTATGGATGTTTTTGTTGTAAATTAGTTAATTACATCTCTCAATGAATTAGATTACAGGAAGGATGGCTTCTACATCTCACTGTGCAATAACATTTTCTAAAACTTCAATTTCTAATTTTTTGATAGTCAAAAGATTAGATTATGTATTGTAAAAATATGAACATTATCTTGCTAATATTGGATACTCAATTGTGAATTTAGTTGTAAATTATCCAAATGTGATGTAGTTGTTCCTAAAAATTCAATGAAAATATATTGTTAATATATAAGGACTTTATGCAGATGTTCATGTGTATCATATAAAAGGACCTTTTGTTGTTAATATGTGAAATTTGTCATGTGATAAAAATCTTTAACTTAACTAGACGAACCATGTGAAATATATGGATATTATATTGTTAATAAATAAACTTTGTCATATTATATATGAACTTTTTGTTGTTCATAAACATGAAAAACTTTTACAAATATTCAACTTAACAACACGGATCATGTGAAATAGATGGATATTTTGTTATTAATAAATGGATACTTTCATGTTATATACGTACCTTTTGTTGTTCATAAATTTTAAAAAAAATTCAAACATTCAGCTTAATCACACACACCATGTAAAATATATGAAAATTATGTTGTTAATAAATGGACCTTGTCATGTTATATACAAACTTTATATTCTTCATAAGCCTAAAAAACTTTTTATTAAGTCTAGCCAATTGATAAATTAAACACATATGGACTTTTAGTTGAAAATATATAAACATTGTGTTGTGCATCGTGAATATTGTGTTGTACATTGTCTACCTAACTTATATATTTCGTTAAGCCTAACCTCTTGATAAGCTAGACATGCATGAACTTTTGGTTGAAAAAATATAAATATTGTGTTGTGTATAATAGATATTGTATTGTGCATTATTTACATAACTTGTACATTTTATTAAATCTATTGATAAAATAAACACGCATGAATTTTCAATTGAGAATATATGAATATTATGCTGTACATTGTCGTGCAAGTTGTGTTTTCGAATCACAAGAATAAGATCATACTTTTGGTTTCAAGGAAAATTACAACAAAGGTCCTTGAGCCTATAGTGTAATATAAAAAATTTTTAGGCTCACCTTGAGCCCATAGTGTAATATAAAAACTTTTTAGGTCCAAAGTGCAATAATCTTTCTTTTTGAGGCCTTTGGTGTGATTTCTCCTAAAGTTAAATACCAAATGATATATGTTTGCTCCAAAAAAAAAAACCAAATGATTAGTATATAATTCTAAGGTTGCGATGAATAATGAGGAATCAAGGACTAGGCGACATGTCAAATTC